CCCCCCCCCCACCTACCCCCCTCTGTTAGTGTGTGTGTGTGTGTTTGAGTCTCTCGGTGTGTGTGTGTGTAGACAATAACAATTGTCCTGAACCAATATCAAGCCATGCAACAATGCTACATCACTCTATTGTTTTTCTTTCTGCAAAGAAAATGAAACTAATACAAGAAACCCGAAAAATCAAGTCAGAAATCAGTAAACTAGGAGTGGCCTTCTGTTTGGCGTCTGGTTTAGACTTTAAACCATTTGCTGTGTTTAACAACCAACGATTTAAACTGAAAGGTTTATATTGCTTCAAGGGGAATTAAGAAAGACCAAAGGAGGAGAAGAAGAACATGGTGCCAAATAACTTTCCACGAAAATCTGATAAATAACTTTCCGCTTTAGTTTTGAGCCTTAGAATCTTAAGTGAGAAGAGATCACATTCAAACTTAGATGATAAATTAACTTTTAAAGAAAACGTGGGAAGTATTTTATTCTTTCTGTTCATAGAGGAAAAACACACAAACAAGGACATCTTTTAATAACTGTAGTCCTCTAATTTTATGCAACTATCATAGTGAATATTAGCATGATACCAGCTGAAACGTATGATGTGTATAGCAAAGATGAACCTTAGGAAACAAAACAATATGTACTATCAAAACACAAATTGCAAGATCTGTATCTTCTACCACATTTTTGTCTATTTGCAAGTTCATTATGTTACATAAGCTAATGTTAATTGTTACCTGTGGGAGCAGAAAGAAAGAGAACATACACAAGAAGCTAAAAGGAAAACAGAGGAAATGAGATCCAAAATACACTCCCTTCGTACGCAGAAAAGGGATCTCGACAACAGGATCTTGGAAATGAAATCAACAATCTCTTCCCTTAAAGATGAACAAAGAATAATTGAAGCGGCTCTCGAGGAAAAGCAGGATGAAATCAAGATGCTTAGAGAAAAACATATGGAAACAAACCCAGATAATTCCAAAGTTAAGCTTCTTTCTGAATCGTTGCGACAGAAGGAAGCTGAAGTTGAGGATTTAAAACATCGTCTTGAATTACCTGTAAAGGTCTGGTCAGTGAGTGCAGATGATCCATCAAATCCACCTATAAACTTCACCACCAAGGCTACTGGAAGAAAAGAAGCAACTGGAGGAGAAATCAAAGAATTGCGTGAATCCCTTAGAGGAGATGACCAGAAGAATCCAACAGAAAATGTAGAGAGAACTGCTGATGAATCTGCCCTCAATCGAAATGAAGGCACCAGGCAAGGTGAAGACAGAGGACAAGCACAAGATGGAGAGACATCTGCTGACAGGAAGAGCAATATTGGAGAACAGGAGTCTCAGGAGTTGAGAACTGCTCAAGAAGATACATCTGCTGACAGGAAGAGCAATATTGGAGAACAGGAGTCTCAGGAGTTGAGAACTGCTCAAGAAGATTTTCCAGGCAACAGAAGCATCAGTTTTCAGAATTTGGATGGCCAAAGAGAGGCTGCTGACAGTTCCAAACCTGAGGAAAACTTCCTAGAAGAAAAAAGGTACAATAGCGGGAATGCATCCGTGGAATCTATCAATCATAGTGGTCAAGTGCAAAAGCAACAAGGAAATTTTGCGGATTCTCAAGCTAATAACCAGCGGTCTGGGCAGGATGACAATCCCAAGAGTAGAGATAGATCAACAGTGAACCAGGAGAACATAAGAAAGACAAAAAGGAAGAGCCGGCGAATAATTGCAGAGAGCAAGGTCACTGAAAGTGGAGGGCTTCCTGAAAAGAGAAGCATTGTAAGCATGAGAAACAGAAAGTTCTTTGAAGAAATGCATGGAAGTGAAACAAATGAGAGAGTGGGAGGCGGTAAACAGGAGAAACAGGAACATCAGCACGATCAAAATATGGACACAGACAGGAATAATGGATCTGGTCCAGAAAATCACAGGATTGACATGACCGATAAAACTCAACAATTTAAAGATTACCAAATCAGGTCAGAACAAGAACAGAAACCAGATAAGGGCAGACAGCAGATGCAAGATGATAGCTCAAACCTCGATGAAGCTCCACCACGTAACGCATTACTTAACCCTGAGAAATCTGCAGGTGCCATAGAAAGTAGCCAAGAAGGCAGGAAAGCTAACACAAATGATAAAATTGAGAAAGGGCAAGAAAGAGAAGTCAAAGACGCAGAATCTGAGATAGCCCAGAGCTCTCAGGAAGTGCATGCGAAGACAGCTGTTTCTGAGGTCAACAGAGTTCCAAAAGAGGTCAGAAATAGAAAACCAGATGACACTGCACAATCACAAGGCGCAACAGGCATCAATAGAAAACGTGAAGACCAAAAACAGGCTGGCAACCTTCAAAATTCTCCAGAACATGCAAATATTGCTGAAAGAGACGTCAAAGCAGATGACCTTCAGTTTGAGAATGATCAAGAAACAGAAGGACAGCTAGACCAGTCTAAAGGAATTTCACAAGAGACCAGAGATCAAAAACCCAATAGAAATGCACAATTAGAAGAGAAAAACACCACTGTCCTTAAAGATACAGAGCAAAGGCTGGCCAGCCTTCACAGTTCTTCCGCACATGCGAGAAATGCTGAAAGGGCTGTAAAAGATGGCAACCTTGACCCGGAGAATGATAAGGAAACAGAAGATGCAGACCATTCTGCCAATTTGGAAGAGGGGGAAGAAGACAAGGACCAAACAGATGAGCCTGAATTTTAGGTATATAGTTGCCTGACAGAATGCTAAATGCTTTGTTTCATTTCAATGTTAGATCATCATGTTTTTAGTTTAGTATAATGTAAAGAAGATACCTGCGTCTTATTAATTCCTCCAGCAGTTGAGTATGCTTATGAATGTTCAATCACTGTGATTTAGTTAAATTACTCTATTGTTTGACATTTCCACTAACCAACTACCAGTGAGGATAATTTGCATACTCCACTAGAAATACGTTAAGATTACTGAATCTGCACTAAGTAGATAGGATCTTCCAATTAATGCGTACACAATTTCCAGACTAACATGATTAAGATGACAATGAAGAAAGAAAAGCAAATGGAGAAAAACCAGTTCCACTTATCATACCATAAGAAACAAAGAAAGAACTGTATTACAGTGCTGATGCAACCAACTTTAACCCACCATTTCGTAGCTCAGAAGCTATCTGGTGCTTTGTATAAAAAGAAGAAAGTTCATACAATGAGAGTTGAAGTTATCAGTGTCATGTCCAATAAATTGGATTATTAGAGAGAACTTCTCAATTTAGGACATGAAAATATCCCAACATTATGCCAAGTAAATTCCCACCTTATTGTGATGCTTGCACCAAATTCTGCGCAAATAAAAATAAAATAGGATATCAAGCCTCTTAAACAGAGAAAAACTCACCCTCGTTTGCGGGGTAGGTAAAGGACACTCAAAAAGTAGCGTTTATCATATCAGAAAATAGTTCCTTCGGAATTAATCCGTCAGTATTTTAACTGACACAACTTTAATAACCTAAGTTTAAAATTCGCATAGAATCTAATTCTATTTGGCATTGCATAGCTGAAAATTCTTGCTCTATTCATGTATCAAGAATCGAGCTTTAATAAATTGTTTGCTTATATGAACTATCATCAGTATGAGAATTCACTTAAATGTAAACCTTGCAGGACTTCTTTTTTCTTTCGAGGTTAGGGTACACACAAGTAAATATATTAGTATTTATTTCTGAAGAAAGGTTTATCAATGCTATACTCTAACCTCTTTTTTCTTCTAATTGAAGAAATCCCTACCTAACCAAGTTGGTTCCAATTTCCATTTCTCATATTTCCTATGACCGTGAAGAATCTGTAGCTTTGTTATTCAACAAGAAAAAGGTTCTTCAAAAGTACTAGGGAAATGTGTTGGATATTTTCAACAAAGAAAATGCATTTGGATTGCTTAGGCTATTTCTTGAGCAAACAAAAAAACAATAATAGCCTGTTTGGCCAAGCCTTTTTTTGGCGAAATGTGCTTATTTTCCAAAGTTAAGGTGTTTGGCCAAACTTTTAGATGGAAAAAAATGCTTGAGCAGAAGCAGAAGCTGAAAAAGTAGTTCCTCCCCAAAAAGCACTTTTTAAAAGTTTGACCAAACACTAATTGCTACTCAAAATTATTTTTTAAATTGATTAGCCAAACACTAATTGCTACTCAAAATTATTTTTTAAATTGATTAGCCAAACACAATTTGCTTCTTACCAAAAGTACCTTTTTCAAAAGCACATTTCAAAATAAGCTGAACAGGCTATAAGTATCAACCATTATTCAGAATAGGCGAACCCATAGAACTGCATATGTAAAGGAGGCAAGTTTGTAACTTTAAAATACCAAATGGCCACAAGACTCCAACACTGATATAAGTAACTGCTTGAATAAAAAACCCTGGCGCTTTGACACTTCTATAAATCCCCCAAAATGCGACCTCCCAGTCTTTCCTCACTTCTCCCTCCTTGCACTTAAAATTGACAAAATTTACCAAACAAAATGGAAGTTTACAAATTTTCTTGCTCTCGTTATGTTTATGTGACGACCCAAAAGGGGTCATCACCTGTTTTAAATAATTCTGTGCTTTCGAGGCCTTGAAAACCTCATTTAGAGTCGCCTCGATTTGCGTGCGCAGTCCGGGCGCGTAGCCGGAAAGCTTAAATGTGAAATTGTGTGAAAAATGCTAAATTTTGGTATTAAAATGAATGAATTTGACTTCGATCAACATTTTGGGTAAACGGACCCGGATCCGTGATTTGACGGTCCCGGAGGGTCCGTAGGAAAATATGGGACTTGGGCGTATGGCCGGAATCGAATTCCGAGGTCCCAAGCCCGAGAAATGAATTTTTCTGTAAAAATTGTTTTCTGAAATTGTTGAAGGAAATTGGAAATGAAATTTGATTAGAAAGCGATGGTATCGGGCCCGTATTTTGGTTCTGGTGCCCGGTACAGGTCTTATATGTGTTTTAAGTCCTTCTCTGAAATTTGGTTAAAAACGGACGTCGTTTGACGTGATCCGGACCCTAAGCGGGAATTTGATGTTTAAAGGAGATTTTGGAAATTTCATTGATCTTGAGGTTTAATTCGATGTTCATGATGTTATTTTGGTGATTTGATTACACGAATATGTTCGCAAGATGTTTTTGAGGTTGTGTGTATATCTGGATTAGAGTTTTGAGGCCTCGGGTGAGTTTCGAGTAGGTTTCGGGATGCCTTAGACTTAAAAGATCAGATGTTGCAGGTTCAGGAAATATTGCAGGTCTCTGGACCCTCTTGCGCGCTCCGCGAGGAATCGCGTGCGGCCGCGGAGGGGCCAGCGCGGCCGCGGTCGCCTTTGAGCGGTCCGCGGTGGGTGTTGTGCGGCCGCGGTCGGCTTTGTGCGGTCCGCACGGGGCTATGATCTGCAGGTCTTCAGGGAGGCCTGTGCGGCCGCGGTCCTTTTTGTGCGGTCCGCACAGGGAGTATCAGAGGGGTGTAAATACACGGAAATTTCAGCTATTTTTCACTTTTCAAACCCCAAAACATAAGAGGCGATTTTTCAAACAATCTTTCTTCTCCAAAACGATTGGTAAGTGATTTCTAACTCATTTTCTTCATCCCTCAACATCTTCTAACATGATTTCAACTTCAAATCAAAGATTTTCATGGGGAAATTGGGTATTTTGGGTAGAACCTAGGTTTTTCAAAAATTGGGGATTTGGACCTCGATTTGAGGTCCGATTTCAAAACAAATTATATATTTGGGTTCGTGGGGGAATGGGTAATCGGGTTTTGGTTCGAACCTCGAGTTTTGACCATGTAGGTCCGGGGGCATTTTTGACCTTTTTGGGTAAACCTTTGGAAAACTCATTTTTTATGCATTGGGCTTGATTCATTTAGCATGTAATAATGCAATTAAGTAATTTGTGATTAGATACGAGCGAATTGGAGGTGGAATCGAGGGGTAAAACTATAATTGAGACTTGAGTTGTGTTCAAGACATCGAGGTAAGTGTTTGGTTTAACCCTAGCTTGAGGGACTAGGAGTTGAGTCTTATTTGCTAATTGCTTCTTGTTGAGTACGACGTATAGGCATGGCGACGAGTATCTATACGTTGGTGTCTAGCATGACCGTGGGTCTTTATATTGCGAATATTTGATTTTGTTGTATCTCCCATGCTTAATTGATGACTTCTATATGATATAAAGAGCATGTGAAAGAAATTGTCATCTATGAACTTCGAGGAGAATTGGCTCAAGTTATATTTCAATTGTGAACATCTATGAAATGGTTGAACCCTTTGGAGCATTGGCTCAAGTGGTAAAGTGAGATATGAAATAAAAGTGAAAGGAAGAGAAAGAGTATGTAAATTGTTCCCTTGCCGGGTTATTGTTGTTTATTGATTATTTTCCCTTGCCGGGATGTTGAGATTATTGATATTGTACCCTTGCCGGGATTTAATTGTTCAATTGTGTTCCCTTGCCGGGATTTCTTTTATTATTCTGTATATTCCCTTGCCCCTTGTTTGTGATTGTTGTTTGGGTGAGGAAGAGTGTTAAAGCACGAAGGGTGATGCCGTGCATTGTTGGTTATTTGTGAGGAAGGAGTGTAAAGCACGAAGGGTGATGCCGTGCATTGTTTGCTTATGGTGAGGAAAGAGAGTAAAAGCACGAAGGGTGATGCCGTGCCGCACGATGTACCATTCCGTGCCGATTCTATTGATTATTTGTGAGGAAAGAGAGTAACAGCACGAAGGGTGATGCCGTGCACATTTTATTTTATCATTGCTTGGTGAGGATGAGAGTAAAAGCACGAAGGGTGATGCCGTACACTTGTTGCTTTCTGTCTCTTTATCAATGTCTAAGTTGTGTTAATTCCTTCGTTGTTGTACGACTTTTACTTGAAATTGTTATTTTCCTTAGCATGCTCCCCCCCTTCCCATATTGATTACTTGTCTATGTATTTTGACTCCGCTGTATATGTATATATAACTGCACAGGTTTATGTAGTAGTCCGGTCTAGCCTCGTCACTACTTCGCCGGGGTTAGGCTAGGCACTTACCAGCACATGGGGTCGGTTGTGCTGATACTACACTCTATGCTCTTTTGCACAGATCCAGGTGTTGGACGGCAGCTGCAGTAGTGCGGGAGTTAGCCTTCAGTCCAGCGAGACACCGAGGTAGCCTTGCAGGCGTTCGCAGGCCCGGCGTCTCTTCTATCTTTTCTTTCAGTCTGTAATCTCATGTATTTCGAGACAAATAGTTATATTTTCCTTCAAACGATTGTATTTAGCACTCTTAGTAGTTCGTGAGTATGTGACACCAGCTCTTGGGTAGAGGTTTATGTTGATTTTTTGCATTGTTGTTCAGATTCTTTAATTTAAGACTTCCGCTTATTTACTTTATTCCGCTGTTTTCATGACATTACTAACAATTGTTAAAAGAGGCAAATTGGTTAATGACAAAGGTAATTAAAGATTGGCTTGCCTAGCTCTCATTAGTAGGCGCCATCACGACTCCCGAGGATGGAAAATCCGGGTCGTGACACCCTTAGGCTCTTGAATTGGGCCGATATGGCTTTAAAAGAGTGGCTTTTTCCCTTTTTCGCTTAAAAAGTTTATAAAAATTTGTTATCCCTTAGCACGAGGTAAATTTGTACCCACTAGGATTTTCAAGGATTTGTGTTATCGAAATATTTTACTTTGTTATGCCTTATCATAAGCTCGTTCGAGAGTTTGAACAATTTGGTACCTCTTAAGGTTTTTGAGGGTTGATGTTAGCAAAACCCTTTGTAATTTAGCCGAGGGTAGCCCTTTTAACCGGTTTTGTGAAAATATTAGAAGGCCTATTTTTGTTACGCAATTCGGACGTCTCCGAACCGTGTTAGTTTGGCCGTAGCCTTTAACTTTAAGGTTTGCCCTTTGGGTTTGTTTCTCAATTATAGTTCGAGCTTTCTTCGAAGTGTAGGTCCCCGAGGGGGGTGGCCTTGGCCTAAAAAATCGATGATTGCCTTTTTAAGGTCTTATGATTTCGGAGTTAGTAATTCAAGCACGTCGATTTTCGGACGGCAGTCCCCGAGTACGGGGTTGATTGCTCGAGCTTTAATTTCGATCAGCGCTTGAGCCAATTTCCATAATAGATCATAATTATGAAATTGTAAAGTATAAATTTTCCTAAGGCATGGAACATCTTATAAGGAAAAATACTTCTTTCAGTAGATCATTCATGTGTACATGTTTTGCCATTAGGGCTCGAGCAGTCTACATGGACACGGTTCGTTTGACCATTTGGCCCTTTACAAAATTTACCTATCGAGACCCCATTGACACGAAGTATTTTCCTTGAAAAC